TGCTTGTCAAGTAACATTTTGTTCATAACATTCATTCTCAATTAGGAAATGTTATGCTTTAAACAAACTCAGACAAAAATGTAAGAGTCTTATTTTTTTTTTGTTGCTGTTGTTGGTTGTTGGGCCTGAACTCGGCCTGGACTGTCCCTCAACTCTTCAGCTCAAGGCTAGCTGAGCATGAGCCACAGCGCCACTTCTGGCTTTTTCTGCTTATGTGGTGCTGAGGAATCGAACCTAGGGCCTCATACATGCAAGGCAAGCACTCTACCACTGAGCTACCTTTCCAGCCCAAAATGCAAGATTCTTAATGTGTATAAAATTGAAAAGTGGAGAGGTAATATTTGATGATACAAGAAAGCAATCTTATATTTTTGTAGCAGCTTAGGACAAATATAGAAGCAAATACTGAATTTTTTTTTTTTTTGGTTGTTGTTGTTGGTTGTGGGGCTTGAACTCTGGGCCTGGTCACTGTCCTTCAGCTCTCCAGCTCAAGGTGAGAGCTCTACCACTTGAGCCAAGTGCCACTTCTGGTTCTCTCGTGGTTAATTGGAGATAAGAGTCTCATGGACCTTCCTGCCCAGGCTGGCTTTGAACCATGTTCCTCAAATTTCAGCCTCCTGAGTAGCTAGGATTACAGGCATGAGCTACCAGTGCCTGGTGCAAATACTGAATTCTCTCACAGCATATTTGATTGCACAATTATTCATCCCTACTGAATACTGGGCATACATCGGTGAGTTCTGTGGGATCTTAAATATGACTTTAACACACATTCTCTGTTCAATCCTATTGTAAACTATCTTAAATCACACTATAAAATTATTATTATTATTATTTTGGGTCCAGTCGTGGGGACTGAACTCTGGGCCTGGGTGCTGTCCCTCAGCTCTTCAGCTCAAGGCTAGCACTCTACCATTTGCGCCACAGTGCCACTTCTGGCTTTTTTCTTTTTGCTTATGTGGTGCTAAGGAATCGAACCCAGGGTCTCATGCATGCAAGGCAAGCACTCTACCACTGAGCCATCTTCCCAGCCCCACACTATAAAATTATAATAAGTAAATCAATCCTGCAAAGGCATGGGAAAGACAGACAGATCAATGAAAAAGAAATATTCCAAAAATAAACCTATTTCTTATGGAAATTTGGCATATGAAAAAGACAGCATTTCAAAGTAGAAAGGCTAGATTAGTAAACAGCACTAGGACAACTTCCTATCTAAAGAGCAGATGTAGTTCAATTTCTACTACATGCCATATGTGCAAATACATTCTATGTGTATTAAAGAACTAAACACTGGAAAGAGAAGAAAACATGAGATATTTCATTAATCTTGGGATAAGGGAGGTTATCTGAAACAAGATGCAAAAGCAGAAGTCAGATGGAAAAAATTCAACTCAACATCAACCCAAAAAGAGAGAAACAGTATAATGAGAGAAAGTACTTGCAAATTATCTAACAGGCCAAGGACTGATATGAAAAATATAGAGAACACCCATGAAGCAAGATAAAACATAAGACTCAATAGTAAAATGGGCAAGAACCAAATTAACCATAAATTCATAGAACATGAAATGGTCAAACATGAGATATGCAACTTCTCTAATAACATTAATCCAACATATAAGGCTTATAATGCACCAACTTTTCTAAATGCTTTAAGCTAACATTTAATCATTTAATTTAATCATTTAATCTAGCAATAGCTCCATGAGCTATCATAGTTACTATTATTACCCCCATTTCAAAGTGAGGAAATTGAGTTAAAGGTTTAAATAAAGTTTTCAGGGCCATTTTACCAGGACAGGCCTAGAATTCTGACAAGCAGTGAAATTCCTTAGTCCAGTATGGCTCTTAACCACTATGCTATTGTTACCTCTTCTGGGATCTAGAGAAGCAGAAAAATATAAATTCAAACAAGAAATTATTTGTCTTCCAAATTTGCAAATATAGAAATGACTAACAAGAGTCAATATGGAAAACTGAGGATTGTCAACCTTGTTACTTTTTGTTTAGTAACAAATGACAGAAATGATTCTTATTCTCTATTCTTTCTAAAAAACACTTCAGAAAAACCACCTAGGTGGCTCACGCCTGTATTCCTAGCTACTTGTCAGGCTGAGGTCTGAGGTTGAAAGCTAGCTCAGGTAGAAAAGTGTGTGATTCTTTAATTAACCACCAAAAAGCTCGAAGTGGGGCTGTGGATCAAGTGGTAGCATGCTATCGTTGAACAACATAGCTCAGGATCAGCCACCAGGACCTAAGTTCAAGCCCTCATACTAGCACAAAAAAGTTATTTACCCAAATAAGGGTGTACAATAATCAGGTAATTCTTGCTACTAAATTCTTTTTTTCCATAAAAGGAGGAAACTCTGAAGTTCCTGATTTTTCTGCTGTGTGTGTGTGTGTGTGTGTGTGTGTGTGGCATGTGAGTGTGCGTGCATGGATGTGCCAGTATTGGGGCTTGAACGTAGGGCTTTGACTCTGTTCCTTAGCTTTTTTCACTCAAAGAAGTCCTCTACCCTTGAGCTATAGCCCTACTTCTGGCATTTCAGTGGTTAATTGGTAATAAAGAGTCTCACAGACTTTCCTGTTGGCTTCCCCCTGAATAGCTAGGATTACAGGCATGAGCCATCGGCACCCAGCTCCTTTTCTCTCTTAATCCTCAGATGCCAGAGGGCAGCAGAGGAAGAGCACTCTATTGCTCCCACACTTCTATGTGGCTGCTTTACTTGTGCTTCAGGATTTAATTAGCTCAGGTCAAAACTTTCTCTGAGAGCCTGTTTCCTGATGTACTATCATCACTGAAGTGTCCAATTCACTTGCCTTTTAGTGGGCTGACACAGTTCTGTTGTCTAGTCTTTTCTATTTGTTCCTTAGACTCTTTCCCAACAGGTTTAAGAGTCAAGATTAAAGTAAGAAGTTCAAGGCTTTTCAACTTTAAAGCCACTTGTTCAAGACCTTTATCTTCAGCAATATGACCATCACAGCCATACAAAAGCATTGCTTCTGGAATCTCTCCATTTTCGATAGCTTCCAGTTTTACTATCCACATCATACATGGGATGTAACAATATATTCAAGGGAAAAACAGATAATCACCCTATTTACAGGCTCCATTATGAAGAATTAAAGTACATTAAAGTATAAAAGTTTATTTCTAAACGTCACTACAAAAAAGTGCTGAACATGTATCACAAATGGTAGTATGCAATGATGATGCAGCTTTCAGTTTTTAAAAAAAGCAGAGCAGGTCGGGGGTTAGGGGTCTGCTTCAAGAGGTTGAGCTTAGTAAGCAGGGACCCTGAATTCAAAGGGCAGTACATCCTGCTACCTCCTAAAAAAAGGTCAGTTAATTAATAATTTCATGTGTACACCTAAAACTTTGTTCCTTCCCTCCCTCTCTGTCCATCTTCTCCATCCCTCTTTCCCTCCTTTACTTCCTCCCTTCCCATCTCCCTCCACCCCACCCCCCCTTTTTTTTTTTGCTGGGGCTGGGACCTAAGGTGTCACAAATTCAAGCACTCTACTACTTCATGTTCCCATGCCAATACATCCAACCAGCTCATTTTTGTACCTTTCCCTGCGCCCCCTTTCCCCAGGTATTCTAACATTTACTACCAACTTGACTTGTGACTATAGGTCAAAACAAAATTTGCAGGGGTGAAATGGACATTGTGACAACATAATAGGCTTCTCAGAAAATGCTGCTTAATAAACCTCCAGGTGGGCAGCCTGAGAGAGGAACTTAAAAACATTCCATATTATAGAGAAGGGACATAGGAAAAGATTAAGGTCAGCAGAACACAGATGAAATTGAAATACCAAAGATCAAAAACTTCCAATGCATCTTATGGCAACGGACTAACAACATCAAATCCCTCATCTTTCTTACCACATCGATGAGAGGTGACCAAAGCGATACAGCACGGGGCCAGGGCAATAATATCCTACTACATCCTACATGTTCTCAATGCAATCAAATAATTTCTGGACAGCTCCATCCTGGCTAGGCATTCACCACATCAATGCCGGCAAGCAAAGATACTTTTGCTAAGGAGTTTCGGTGTAAAGGCCAAATATCTCAAGGCCATTTCATATCCAAACTCAAAGTTTAGCTTGGCTTTTGTGTGCCTGTCCTGGGGCTTGAATTCAGGGCTTGGTGCTCAGCTTTTTGCTCAAGGCTGGCGCTCTACCGTATGAACCACAGCTCCACTTGTGGCTTTTGGCTGGTAAATTGGAGATAAAGAGTCTTAGGAACTTTCCTTCCCATTTGGCTTAGTGTGAAGTGTGATCCTCAGATCTCTGCCCCTTGAGCAGCTGGGATTACAGGCGAGTCACCCGTGCTCTGTTGTGGACCTCAGTTGTGGGAAAGAAAACTGAGGAGCCCAGGGCTCCGAAAGGCCGACAGAGGCCTAAGATGAGGTCCCCCGCCCCGCCCTTCCTCTGCCACTCCAGCCCGGGGAGAAGCCACAAGTGAGGGCGAGAAGTTGTGGAGCTGGGTGGGGGACCCCAGAGAGTTTAACACAGCCCCTGGACTTATCGTTCACTGGGCCACTCGCTCCGGGTCACTTTCCCTGCTCCCCCCAAGTGGGCTTCCCGCCAAAGAGGCTTCCCAGGCTTGGAGGTCAGCCCGCCGCGCCCCCTCGGCCCTGGCCGGCCGGCCGCCGCTCCTCCCCAGCCTCGGCGGCCCGGGCAGAGCTCCGAACTCGACAGGCCTCCGGGACACGCGTTTCCCACGCTGACACCCCTGGCAGGACCCGGGGCTCCTCAGCCTCCACCCCCGGGGGCTCTGCCAACGTCCCCCTTCCTCCCGCAAGGGCGCCCCGTGCCCGCCTCGCGTCCCGGGTCCCGCCGGCGGCCCGGGCGCCGGTCCTGGCCGGCCGCGCTCGCCGTCCGTCCCCGGCGCCCCCCGGGGGGCCTCCCTGCCCCGGGCCGGGCTCCTCGGGGGCGGCCGCTGCCCAGTCCTCCCGCCCCGCCCCGCCCCGCTCCCGGGCGGATACAGTTTGAAGCCTCTCAGGATCTCCCTGGCCCGCTCGTCCTTGGCTGACATGATGGGCGGCCGCCGCCCGCGGCTCTCCCACGGTGGCCGGTGGAGCCTCGCAGATGGCGTCCAGGAGCGAGGGCAGAGCTGCAGCCGGGCCTGGAGACCTAGGACGAGAAGAGGCGGCGGCCAGACCCGGACCGGCCCTCTCTCCCTCCCCTCAGCTCCGCTCCTGATCCCTTCTCCTTCCCTCTAGCCACGGAGCGCCCTCCCCAATGGCCAATGGCAAGCCAGCCTCGATGATTGACATCTTCACTAGCCAATAAGAATGTCCAGCGGCTTCGCAGGGGGACGGAGAGCGTCAATGGGAAAGGCCCTCTTCGAGAGGTCCCACAGGGCAAAAATTTCTTTCGTTGTTGCCTAGAGTTTGCCCCAGCGGAGGGACAGCTTACGAACAGAAGAGGCTCAGGGGGCTTACTCCCGTGGCTGAGCACACGAGCGGTCTGAAACGATGGCAGGTTGCACTGTGAAAAGTAGCTAGGACTACACTTCCCAGCATTCTAGGGCGCGGCAGGGACCTCAGATCCCCGCCAACCACCAGAAGCCGGGGACTACAAATCCCAGAATTCCCCACGTCCCGTCCATCTAACTTAGGCTCCAGTGTGCCGCGCAGTGTGCGCAAATTCAACCCGCCAGTCGGGTTGGTGGCTTTTGGATCCCTGAGGCTTGAAGGCGGGCGGGAGGACCCTTTTCCCCCCTCAAGAGGAGATGACAGCCCACCGTTTATTAACTTCTGCTTACGCGGAACCCAGAAGTCTTCTGCAAATCATGGTAAGGCTGCAAATAACAAACAAAAACCACTCATTAAACCATGAAAGACTGTGGGACCGAACGACTTCCTCAAATCCTGCTCGTCGGTGGGTCTCGGCGCCTTTTGCGTGTGTTGCTGGGGGTTTTGGTGTTACCCCTGCTTTGGACTGAGAGAGCTATCGACCTTTATAGTCAGAATGTCAGTACAGGAAGGGACTTTATAAACAGTTTGCCAACCCAGTTCCTTTTGTTTTTACATTTGAGGAAATTGAGGCCCAGAGAGGAGAAGAGATTGGCTATAGTGGGGAACAGAGTTCGAATTCGGCCTTAAGTTTTCTGATGTGCAGTGTGGCTCTTTGCACACCCAGGGGATGTTATTTTTAGTAGCATGACAATGTGATTGTTATTCTCCTTGAAGAAGAGTTTTCCCATCCAAGACTGAAACTCCCAGAGCAGGTTTCCTGAAAGAGAAAAAGTGTGATATTTATTTATCCTTAGTGTAGGTAGGACTTAGTGTTTTGACTTTTTTCTTTATCTTTCAAGGTGACTCTTAGTATGATTTCAGGAAGTAGGTAAAATTAGAATGGAAGTCTCCTAGGAGACTTCCTTTGACCTTTCCTAGGACTCCTTTCCTGTTCCTGTCCCCCCCTTTTTACCCATCTGGGCACCCACCCAGTTTTTTTCCATGTAACTCAACAAACATGCTTTCAGGTTCTATTATTTGTCAAGCACTGAGTCGGTGAAGGTGAAAGATATGATCAAATAAGGAGACTCAAGGTGGAGTGTGACAAAATGACATGAAAGAAATGACATCAGACTGCCACAGAGGTCTGATGGAGAGATTCATAACAGCTGATAAAACTTTATGGATAAGCTGGGCGCCAGTGGCTCATGCTTGTAATCCTAGGTACTCAGGAGGCTGAGCTCTGATGATCGGGGTTCAAAGCCAGTCTAGGCAGAAAAGTGCTCGTGAGAGTCTTATCTCTAATTAACTACTCAAAAACCAGAAGTGGAGCTATGGCTAAAAGTGGTAGAATGCTAGCCTTGAGCAAAAGAGGCTAGAACCTGGACAGTGTCCAGGCCCTAAATTCAAGCCTCTCAACCAAAAAACAAAACAAAACCCCAAAAAACCCTTTATGGACAAAGTGTCATTTGAACTTGAAAGATGGGTAGGATAATTTTTTCTATATTATGAATTTTTTTAATCTTTAAATGTTTTGTTTACATGCCTTCTATTTGTCTGAGATAGAATCTTGCAATGTTAGCCCTAGAGCTTGCTCTGTAGAGACCAGGCCGGTCTTGAACTCAAAGTCTTATCCCCTTGAGTGCTGGAATTCAGATGTATGCCACTATACAAGACTCCCTTAAATGTTTGTGTTCATGAGTATACCTGTGGTATACATATATATCCCTGTTGTCCCCACACAAATCAACATAAAGAACATTTCCAGCATTCACTTGTGCCCCTTCATAATCAGAACTGTGCTCTTATTTCTAGAGATAAGCAGCCATTTTTCTGACTTATTACTGACTAGATCAGTTTTGAATTTCATTTAAGTGTAATCATACAGTGTGTACAGTATATGTCTGGCTTATTCGTCAACAGTTTTGTGACATTTTTCTGCCAGTTGCTGAGTAGTAATCTACTGTATGTATATGACATTGAGTTATTGGTGACAGCTAGACTTTTTTTTTTTTTTTTTGTCGGTCATGGGGCTTGAACTCTGGGCCTGGGCGCTGTCCCTCAGCTCTTCAACTCAAGGCGAGCGCTCTACCACTTGAGCTACAGCGCCACTTCCGGTTTCCTGGTGGTTTTTATTGGAGATAGGAGTCTCACGGTCTCTCCTGCCCGGGCTGGCTTTGAACCGTGATCCTCAGATTTCAGCCTCCTGAGTAGCTAGGATTACAGGCGTGAGCCAACAGCACCTGGCTTAGACTTTTTTCTTTTTTAAACTGTTTCTAACAGTAGGTTAATTTTTTTTTTTTTTTTTTTGGGTGGTGATAGTACTGGGGTTAACTTGGTCTTATACTTGCTAAATAGGTGCTCTACTGTTGAGCCATGCCTCAGTCTTGTTTTTTTGCTGGTTATCTTAAAGATAGGCTCTTGCTTCCTACTAGGACACATGACTTGGAACTGCAGTGCTCTGGGTCTCAGCCCAGCATATAGATTAGGATGACAAGTATGAACCTTGTATTGGTTTAGGAGTTGAGAAGATGTCTCACCAACTTTTCTTCCCAGGCTTGCTTTAAACTTCAATCTTCCCACTTTCAACCTCCAAGTTGGAGGATTGCAGGGGTGAGCCATCAGCACCTGGCCACAGCTGCATACTTACATGAGCATGCATATCTTCCTTTGGGTAGGTCTGTACACAGAGTTTAGGAGAGAAGTAGCTGTCTTGGAGGCCATGAATACGATCAGAAATTGTAGATATTGCCAGCTTTCCAAGGCAATAGTATAGTTTATGCATTTACCAGAAACGTGAGAGAGTTCTAGTTGTCTTGTATCCTTGTGAAAACTGCTGTTATTCAGTCTTTTTAATTTTAGTTATCTGGTTAAGTGGCAGATTTTATGAAGTTATTTATATTTTTGGGATGATGAGAATTTTTCTTATGCTTATTGCCTATTTGAATATCCTCTTTTGTGAAGTGCCTGTTCAAGTTTTGCCCATTTTTTTCTTGATTGTGTTTTTTAAAAGTATAGTTTTATTGTTATAAGGTGTTGTACTGAGGGGTTACCATTTCATAAGTCAGGTAATGAGGACATTTCTTTTTGGGCAGTGTTATCCTTTCCCTCGCTTTTCCCCAGTGTCCCCCATTTTTAAACAATTGGGTGATTGCCTTCTTACTGATTTGTCACTCTTTCCATAGTCTGGATATGGAGTTCCTTTGTGTGGTCTGTGCTCTGTGCTTTTCAAATTTCTTTCCTAAGGCTGAGGCTTGTCTTTTCAATCACTTACTGATGGCCTTTTGAAACAGAAATTCTTATTTTTTTTGTGTGATTCTTTACTTTTTTCTTTTTTTAAATTGTTATTACAAGGTGATGTACAGAGGGGTTACAGTTACACAAGTCAGGTAATGAGTACTGTTTGTTTTTTTTTTGTTGTTGTTGTAGTTGTTGTTGGTTGTGGTGCTTTAACTCAGGATCTAGGCAGGGTCCCTGAGATTTTTTTTGTTCGAGGCTAGTGCTCTACCAATTTGATCCGCAGGGCCACTAGTTTTCTGGTGGTTATTTGGAGATAAGAGTCTCATGTTCTTTTCTGTGGGCTGGCTTTGAACCATGATCCTCAGATCTCAGCCTCCTAAGTAGCTAAGATCCATCAGTGCCAGGCTTTATTTTTATTTTTGCTTTGTTTTTATAAAGATGATGTATAGAGGGGTTGCAGTTACCTAAGTCAGATAAGAGTACATTTCTTTCTGGACAGTGTCATCCCTTCCCTTGCTACCAGTTTTTCCCTCTTGTTTCCACCCACAAGTTGTGTAATTAGAGATTTTTAATTTTAATGTTGTATGTTAGTGTTTTCTCATGGAACTTATTTTGCATTGAATTTAGGGGATGTGTGTGTGTGTGTGTGTGTGTGTGTGTGTGTGTGTGTGTGTGTGTGTGTGTGTACACATATGGCATTCTTGGTGCTTGAACTCAGGGTCTGGTCACTGTCCCTGAACTTTTTTGCTCAAGGTTAGCACTCTACCACTTGAGCCACACTCTACTTCTGGCTTTAATTGATTAATTTGTGCTGAGAATCTCACAGGCATTTCTGCCTGGGTTGGCTTCAAATGGTAATCCTCAGATCTCAGCCTCTTGAGTAGGTAGGATTCTAGGCGTGAGCCACCTGTATCTGGCCTGAATTTAGAAAATTTTTGTCTGTAGGGCTAATAGTTTTTTTTTTAAACAAATGATGAGAGAAGAACATTTCAAAAAAGAAGAGAAGCAAGCCTGAGCACAGGTCTGATCCAAGTTGGCTGGGCATAGAAAGGCCTGGAGTTTGGGCTATGAAGGTGGTAGGGGAGACCAGGTTGGAAGGGCTAGTGGGAGACACACTGAGAAGGGCTTTTACTGCAGCCCTGTGGAGTCTGGACTCCCCTTGACCATGCAGAGGCATTGCTAGATTTTTTTTTTTTCCCTGTGGGTCTTGAACTCTGGCCCTGGGCACTCTTCAGCTCAAGGCTAGGGCTCTACCACTTGAGCCACAGCGCCACTTCTGGTTTTCTGGTGGTTAATTGGAGATAAGCATCTCATGGACTTTCTTGCCTGGGCTGGCTTTGAACCGAAATCCTCAGATCTCAACCTCCTGAGTAGCTAGGATTATGGGCCTGAGCCCCCGGTGCCCTGCTATTGCTAGAAATTTTATTAACCCAGATTGTATCCAGTTGTCTTCCTCCCACCCTGCTTCCACTGCCCTATGCATTTAGCACCATCTTCAGTCAGCCTGAGTCCCTCGGGCCAGAATCCTGGGTATCTTTCCCTCTCCCTGCATTCACTACAGCACCAGGCCCTTCTTTTTTTTTGGTTGGATGTGGGATCTGAACTCTGGGCCTGGCCACTGTCTCTCAGCACTTCAGCTCAAGGCTAGTGCCTATCACTTGAGCCACAGTGCCATTTCTGGCTTTTTCTGCTTATGTGGTGCTGAGGAATGGAACCCAGGGCCTCATGCATGCAAGGCAAGCACTCTTCCACCGAGCCATCTTCCCAGCCCCAGGCCCTTCTTTTTCATGTCCAGTTTTGTTCAAATCTCCTGTGTTTTATCTGGAATAAACCAATCATCTCAGGAGTTTCCCTGCTTCCAGTCCTGTCTACAACTATCTCAGTCCTGTATCGCCCGTGTGGTGATCATTCTCAGAGGGCAGTTCTTCACTCTCCTTTCCACCTTAAAAACCCTAACAGTTCCTTGTTACACTTAAGAGAAAATAAAAACTCCTTCACTTGGCATATGCTCTATGTTATCTGTTGCTTGATCCATGCCCCCAGTCTTTTTTGCTTCCATTATTTTTTTGGATAGGATCTGGAATTTTTGTCCTCAAGT